GATGTATTCAAGTGCCTAATTTTTTTCTTCAAGGACTAACTGATCCTAAATATAAAGAAATTAGGTCGAGAATATTAATAATGGTCGAGCAAGACTCGAAAATAACATTACAAAGGGTGACCGAAGAATGCCAACGTCTCATAAACGTAAAAAGGGATAATACACAAATTGAGGAAAAAAGTGTTGCTAATGTTCGACACGTAAAAACTCCAAAAGCCAAAAAGATAGAAAAATGTGAGACGTGTGGAAAAAATAACCATACCAAAGACACGTGTTGGTACAAAAATAAATTCTGCCAATCGTGCGGAAATAAAAAATCATACCAAAGACGTGTGTTGGTACAAAAATAAATTCTGTCAATCGTGCGGAAATAAAGGGCATAAATATTCGGTTTGCCGCAAGAAAAGGAAATTACAAGATGTAAGCCTGGTATTATCAGAAAAAGAAATTCAGAACGGTAAAAATAGAAAGTACGTAGATGTACGTATAAATAATCATACAATTACTTTCCTATTGGATTCTGGTTCAGACATAAGCATCATTGATGAACAATCATGGAAAAATATTGGAAGATCTAAATTATCTGAAACCAAAAAAACCACTAGAGGGGTTTCAGGAAAGAAATTAAACTTTAAGGGAGAATTAAAGTGCGATATTTCGTTATGTGGCAAGACTGCAAAAACGAAATTGTATGTAATCCAAGGGATTAATTCATGTCTTTTTGGAATAGACTGGATAGTACTTTTTGATTTGTTTGAACTCCCGACTAACTCATTTTGCAACGTAATAAACAGTGCAGAAAAACAAAAAAGTATTAAAAATTAAAAATTCATGAATGAATTAAAAGAAGAATATCTCAGAGTTTTTTTTCTGAGGGATTGGGTTTATGTACTAAGACGGAAGTCAAATTTGAACTCAAGGAAAATGTGAAACCAATTTTTAAACCTAAGAGAAACGTTCCTTTTTCCTCCTTAGAGACAATTAATAAGGAATTGGAAAGGCTTGAAAAAATGGGAGTGATATCTAAGGTTGACCATGCGGATTGGGCCTCGCCCACAGTTTATGTTAAAAAGAAAAACGGAAAAATAAAAGTGTGCGCAGATTTTTCAACAGGGTTAAATGATTGCCTTAAAAATCAGTTATCCACTACCTTCACCAGAAGATATTTTTTCAAAATTGAATGGTGGGAAGATTTTTTCAAAAATCGACCTGTCTGACGCATACTTGCAGATTAAAGTGAGTGACGAATGCTCAAAATATTTGTGTATAAATACACATAAAGGTATTTATAAGCTAAATTGGCTTCATTTCGGCTTAAAGGTCGCCCCAGCTTTGTTTCAACAGGTGATGGATATATGCTGGCAGGCCTTGAGTTTGGTACCGCCTATTTAGATGACATTCTAGTCAAAAGTAAGGATGTTCAAGAACATAAAACGCATATCAGAGCGATATTCAAAAGACTAGAAGATTTTGGTTTTAAATTAAGCCACGAGAAGTGTAAATTCTTCATGGAAAGAATTACATACCTCGGACAGGTAATAGACAGTGAAGGCAGGAAACCGGACCCACAGAGAGCCGATGCAATTAAGAACATGCCTGCACCCGACACAGTTGCGAAACTACAATCGTTTCTGGGGTTGGCACAATATTATGCAATCTACATACCTAAAATGTATGATTTAAGAGCCCCCCTTAACGAGTTGTTGAAAAAGGGCAAGAAATGGTTTTGGTCAAAAGATTGCGAGACGGCTTTTCAGAAAATAAAAAAATGCCTACTCTCAGATCTCGCCTTAGCACATTATGATCCTGAGAAAGAGATCATTCTGGCAACTGACGCAAGTTTGTACGGAGTGGGTGCTGCACTGCTACACAAATATGAAGATGGCACTACTAAACCGATCGCTCACGCGTCGAGGACTCTTCTTCCGGCTGAAAAAATTATAGTCAGATCGAGAAAGTCTTTGTCGATTGTGTTCGGGGTTAAAAAATACCATCGCTTTTTACATGGTAGATCATTTGTACTTCAAACGGACCATAAACCGTTACTTACAATATTTGGAGGTAAAAAAGGCATTCCTACGCCTACGCTTACGGCGATGGGGTGTAACCCTGCTTAATTACCATTTTAGGATGGAATACGTCAAATCTAAAGAACATGGGCATGCGGATGGATTGTCAAGGCTGATTCCAAAAAATGAAGAAATGTTAGAAGAGACGGTTATAACAGCATTAACTGAGGAAAAAGAAATATCAGGTCTTTTGTTGAATACAATCAGGGAATTGCCGGTAACTTTGGACCAAATAAAAAAAAAAGAAGCGGAAAAAGATCACTATATTGTGAAATTAAGGAACCAGACGAGATGGAACAAAGGACAGAAAAAGGGAACTCAGATTTCACCTTTTTCAATTTGCGACAACACGTTGATGTACGCAGATAGAATTGTTATACCTCAATCTCTACGTACAGATATGCTGAAAGAATTTCATTCCGGTCATCCTGGAATGTCTCGGATGAAATCACTCATGCGTGGTTACGTATACTGTCCAGGAATGGACAATGATATTGAAGGTTTTGTAAGACTATGTAGAGGTTGTCAATTGGCTGCAAGGGCACCTCCGGTCAAAATGAATCCTTGGCCGAAAACGGATTTGCCGTGGGCACGTCAACATATAGACTATGCTGGACCAATTAATGGGTACTATTATTTGATATTGGTGGACTCTTTATCGAAATGGCCTGAGGTAGTCAAGTGCAAGCATCCTACATCTAGGAACACCATCAGTGCATTGGATGAAATTTTCAGTCGTTTCGGGGTTCCCAGGACAGTGGTTAGCGACAATGGTAAGGCGTTCACAAGTATGGAGTTTAAGGATTTCTGTACTGCCTTAGACATTGAACACATAACTACACCAGCGTGTCATCCCAGGTCGAACGGTCAAGCCGAGAAATTTGTTGACACCTTTAAACGTGCTTTACGTAAAAATAAAGGTATGGACACGGAAGAAAGAACTATTCAGAAGTTCTTAGCAATCTATAGGGTAACTCCTAATGAGAACAACGATGCGAAAATGTCATCGGCGGAAATTATGTTCGCAAGGAAAATTAGATCAATTTTCGATAGATTGTTACCCTATCAAAACAAAAAAGTTGCTAAGAAAGAGGAAAAAATCAACATAAAAAAATACACTTCAGGAGACAAAGTTTTTTTTTTTTTTTAAAAAGTGGAAAAAAACTATTGGATGGATGGCATAATCCAGAAAAGGATTGATAAAGTGGTCTACACGATTAAAAAGTAAAAATTTACGTGTAAAAGACACATCAATCAGATTAGACCACGATATGGTGAAGAAAGTGAAAAAAGCGAAGAAGAAATTCCGATGGAAGTATTATGCGATGCTTTTAACATGACACTACCCAATAGTGTATATGAACCTGTATCTCATGGACCAGCCTTACGTGCTGAAAAGCGGAAATTATCTTCGCCAAAAAAGGATCTAATTGTGACGACTAAAAGAAGGAGCACACGGGAAAGAAAACCAGTGGAGCGTTTTAGTACGGATCCAAAAAGACGACATTAGAAGCAGAAATTTTCAAAAGGGAGAATTTCAGCTTCGGGGGGAGGTGTTGTGATGATATAACCCAACTTCCCCATTCACGATAATGGACGGACTGGTTGCCGATTAAGTACGACCACAGCGGACAGTCAAGAGGTCTTCGTTTGTTAACACCTATTGAGGTTAGCATACTCCCGACTCTGTCTCTGTATTTGACACACCTACATCCGATTATAAACCTATTATTGAAACCCAACACTCGTGTTACTTTGTTTATTATATCTTGCACGAGATACAACATATTCTCTATCTATTTTTGACTTCAAAAAATGTATTAAATATCAAAACTTGTGTTAATGTGGTGCATAACCTGTAAATTCAAGAGAAAGACATAAGACTACTGCTAATTTATATTTTAATTTACAATTTGCATTTAATATTTTTGCTTTACCTTATATTTTAAAAAATTTTCCGATATAAATAAAAACAAAACGCATGCTGATATAACGGTGTAAAAGCAAATAATAACCCACGAAATTTAAATCCGGTTCATTAAAAATTAAAAAAGTGAAACTGATGTTTTTTGTCTTTTTTTCCGAAATAAAATTATCGTTTAAAATAAATTAGGACATGTTTATGATTAATGAATGTTTTTACCCAATTCATTGTTTCTTTTGGAAAGACAATGAACTAAAAAATAGTTTCTAATTGATCTTAATATAACCAGCGATTTGAATACATCGATATTGCCTACACGTAGATAATTTATTTTAAAGTAAAATTTATAAAGCAGATTATTTCTTATAACAATTTATGTGTACTATTTTATGTGTTTATCTTTTCCAATATTTTCAAGAAATATTAGACCTCAGTTTTAAATTGGTTTATATTCAATTTATTTATTTTAGCACGGAATAATCCAACCCGGTTATTTATTGCAGTTAACACCGCAACAATCTCCGAGATATTAATTAATTTTATTTTAATTGCATTTGATCAAATAGAATTAAAATTTTAACGTAAAATGTTCTGTGTGTGGTTTTATATCATGGCCCAACAATCTAGACTTGTCCAAGCGTCTGGTTTAAAAATCAACCTACCTATCTATCTATCTATCTGTCGAAAGAGAAAAAAAAACATAGATAGTAAATATTTACGCATTTCTCATATTATATAAAACGTGATGGTAAAAGATATTCTTTGTATATTTTTCATGTTTATTTTTTTTATTTATATGGAATCAGAATTTTCGGCTGCTCCCGCAGTCTTCGTCACTGCTTGATATTGAATCGTGCTCATTTTTTATTACAATTTCCAAGAAAAAAAAAGAAAGAAAAAGAAAAGTTCTCCCACATATCAACTTAATAAAAAACAAAATATTTACAAAGAAAGTCATTGCCATTACTCTTTTTTTTTTTACCACACCTCTTCTCTCTTTTGCTTATAGCCACATCATGTTGAAACACCGGTTCCCGTACGATCACTGAAGGTAAGCAACGTCAAGCCTAGTCAGTACCAAGATGGGTGACCGTTTGGGAATACCAGGTGCTGTAAGCATTAACAATGTAAGGGAAACACGATTGCAATTATGTAGCGTTTTTCGACAGGTTTTTGTTCTACTTTGTACTGGGCCCTGTTTTAAATTGAATGTTACGAACGTTGGAATTGTACTCTATTGTTTCTCATTATATATATATATATATATATATATAGTGTGTGTGTTTGTTTATGTCAATCAGTCTGCATCTTAATCATGACTATAGATTTTACTTAGAGCAACAAATACTTTCAACATAATTTCCTTTGTCATTGCACTTGATTCAGTGGTAGATAGCAATCATATGCGACATCTTGACTCAGCCCATTCTTAAAATTTGACCAAATGACCAAACGTAATTTTTGGGGATCTCTTGTTGGTCTGAGAACGTTTTAGAATTCCCAAGATTAATCAATGATTCAAATTATCATTCAGTTATGATTTATTTGTCAGTTTACAAAGTTATTGGTCTAACATGGGGTGGTTAAAGACTTTATTATATTCTTTAAAGCATGTATAATATTAATTTGATCTTGAATGACCTTCAGTTCTGTACACAATAAAACTCTTGATAATCTTTTGTACACAGTAGAATTTATTTCGTACTTATAAAAATTGTATGTATCTAAATGAACAACATATGCAGGTTTCGGTGTGTGAATTAGTGGGATTGCAAGAGAGTGGAGGTGTCCTCACACATTCATATTTAGGTATTTTTCTATTATCGGCAGACAAAGTTTTAACTAAAAATATTTACTTATTATATATTAATATACTAAAATTACTTTTCTATTATCGACAAACACTTTTGGCTATTTTTTTCCGAATCAATATTTTCACTTATTTCTTTATTAGAGCTTTGAAAAATAAAGTAAATATCAGGTGTAACAGCAAAATTGTCCAAATCGTGTAACAGCATAATTGTCCATCTCACAAAATGTTTAATATTTAAAAAAACACTAAACTAATTGTGTTTCGTTTTCCAAGGTTTTCAGATACGATGTTTAGCAATCTTGATACTATTTTGTTATGGGGTCCACCCCTTTTTAATATAAGTGGACTCGACCAGAGTGTTACTTGGACTGCTGCCGTTAAATACCCAGGGTCAGTCAGAATAGAGAGACAGAGAGTGAGCAGAGATTGTGATTGAGTTGGAGTAATAGTGTGAGGTAACCGCTTGTAGAAGTCACAGTTATTAGCACGTAGACTCTAAGGAAGCCCTACTTCGAGACTATATATATATATATATATATATATATATTATTATTATTGCGACTAACCGCGTTCCTGGATTTACTAACAATATACCCATTGTATTATTGTGTAAATACATTTAATTTCTTATCTTTATTTCTTTGTTTGTCATTCATTGGAGACCGAATTTCATCTCGGAATCCACAACACATTTTTTGTGAGAATCATTGAAAAACACTTTGAGTTATTCAGCTACAAAGAGAACAGTTTAAAATCGTTCTGTGTCAAGCTCACTATCTTCTCAACTGAACAATGGTGAGAGAAAAAATCATTCAGGCCTTCAGTAATTCAAAGTCCATTCAAGAACCATCAATAAAACGGTAAATAAACTTAAAGAGAGAACGGTAGAGAGGAAAACTGGACCAGGAAGTCACAACAGGAAGAGGGATCATCATTTAAACTTACAGCTAAAGAGATCAATTAGGAAAAAAATCCAGCTCAATCCATAAGACGTTTGGCACGTGAGAGAGAAGTTTCAGCTATGACAGTCCAAGGAACATTGGAAAAAAACTTCAAAATGAAATCGAACGTGAAACGTGTAAGGCATCTTGTTACGCCAGAAAAGAAAGTCAGAAGGTTAGAGAGGGCGAAGATCATATTGAATAAGTTGAGAAAAGATTCTAGAATAATATATATATATATATATATATATATATATATATATATATATATTTGGAATTTATTTCAATCCTTCTTGAGCTTCCGATCCTTAACAATGATCAATTAAATATGAACATATTATTGTTTATGATCGATTTTATCACAATTCTTCTTTTTAGGCTTGGAGAGTAATTACACATTCTTATTGTTCAAGTTAGAGTCCAATAGTGTTATAAAAGCCTCGGGGAATGCCTGCAATATATCTTTATCTTTTCTAAGATACAACGGTTCAGAGCTTAATCAAACAATTGGACAGTTTTGCTGTTTGTTAAACGATTTGGAGAGATTTGCTGTTACACCTGGTATATATATATATATATATATATATATATATATATATATATATATATCCCACAGAAGTCATCATAAAACTCATGGAGCATGTCCTTACATTGAATACTTTCAACTTTAATGGAACACACTACCTTCAAATATGAAAAATCCACAACATCAGTAACATTTTTAGACACCCGCATTTACATAGATGAAAACAGGAAACTACAAACGACACTACACACTAAAATCACCGACACCCACAACTATCTACACTTTAAGTCTTCCCACCCTAAACACCTCAAAGAGAACCTTCCCTATTCACAAGCACTTAGACTCAGAAGTATATGTTCCAACAAAGAAGAATTAAATAAACACATTGAAAATCTGGAGCATCAATTCATAACACGTGGCTATAAACAACACCTAATCAGGGAACAAATAAACAAAGCAATTTCCACACCTAGAGAAGACACCCTAATGTACAAGATTAAAAATAAATCTAGCCGCATCCCTCTAGTAAACACTTTCAATCCCACTCTGCCTCCACTATCCCAAATAATCAAACGTCGCTGGGAAATACTACATCTCAAACCAGACCTAAAAAAATTGTTTAAGGAACCCGGCCTTTTTGCATATCGTAGACCTAAGAACCTAAAAGAAATCATAGGTAGTAATCACATTTCAGGGGACAAGGTAATCCGTAATAAACTAAGAACAAAAACAACAGGATTTTCCCAACCATATAACAAAAGAAGTTTATGTTGCAACCATGTTAAACACACGAATTCATTCACTAGCTGAATCGCTAAATCTACTTTCAAAATCTACCACGATTCTAACTGTAGAAGTCATAACATAATTTACCTCCTAGAATGCACACTATGCCAGAAACAATATGTAGGAAAATCTGAATGTCCCTTTCATTTTAGATTTAATAATTATCGCAATCGAATTAAGTCGACTCTCCATGAAAAATTATTACCTGTAGAACAACATTTCCGCATGGAAAAACACGATTTCAAAACCCATGCCAAATTCACTATAATTGAGAGAATAGAAAAGTTCAGAGCAGATAACATTAGAAAGATTTTAGAGTCCCATGAAAATAAGTGGATACAACGTCTAAAAACACAATATCCAGCCGGGCTAAACCATAAATTCAACAATATAGATAGTAATAATATATAACTCAACAAATCAAAACCTACCCACATTTCTTACCCACACAAGACAGTCATGCTTACGGAGGTGTTGAGGCTTCACGCTTATACACACACCCACACGAATATACACACTTACACACATCATACTCACTCACTCCCTAATGAGCCAAATGATAACACACACCCACAGCAATATACACGCTTACACATAGACTCCCTCCCTCCCTAAGAACCAAATAACACACACACAAACACTAAACAGAGACACATCCCCTCTCCAGGACCAAAAAAACTGTCAAACTGACCATGGGAATTCAGGGACGCATAGATCTTATCTCAAATAACAACTTAAAAGAGACTGTTTGACCAACACAAGGAATGTTAGAAGATTCATGTTAAAAAGATAAAAAAATAAAAAAAAAAAACAAATGAAAACTACAGACAAAAGTTCATTTTCTCCAGCATTCATTTCTGTAGTTTACTGCTACCAGCAAGCAGAAATATTTATTCTTCAGATGATGGCCATTTTGGCCGAAACTAGTAGAGGAATCTAAATGAAATAATAATAAAAAAACGAAAGAATATTAATCTACAACCCAGTGTGTCTGAAGATTTTAATTTTGTAATACTTTTTATTGTTCAATATATATATATATATATATATATATATATATATATATATATATATATATATATATGCCATGTACCAGAGTTTGAAACACTATACTAAGCCCGAGGAGTTCATTAATTTCTGTCGGAAGCGGGGACAGATTCTGCTCGGTGGATTTGTTTTTGACCATTTTCTTCTAACATGTTTTGCCTAAGGAGGCAGGGCCTGATTTCCTTCTCCTAGACCAAGCCTATAGAACTCTGTCAGTCCTGTTTTTTTTACCAGTAGTTGCCCGGAAAAGAGATGGATTCATATCATTTCCCGCGTAAGTGAATATAATGATCACGCCTGGAATTCAAACTTGGCTCTCCAATTCCTCAATCCGAGCCGCAATTTATTAGTTCATCGTGCATCTATCTATCTATCTATCTATCTATCTATCTATCTATCTATCTGCTAACATAAATACATGTGCATAACAGACTGTCAAAATTATCTCTCTTTCTCTCTCTCTCTCTATATATATATGTAGCGGTGTATGTATATACAGAAGGATGAAAGAAATATTCGTACAGCATGATTTTTTTTTATTTAACATAGATTTTATAAAAGGATTTTATAATTCATACAATATTTGTATACCATGGTATAATGTTGCAATATGCAAAAAAATATTCGGTAATAATTGTTATAGTAATGAAAGTATATCAAATTTAAAAAAATTGGAGGCGAAAAATCATTTGTACAAAATTTTAATACCTATTTAATACTTTGTAGCATATCCCTTACTCAGGTTTATTTTCATGACCACGAACAAATTTTAACCGGCTATCTCTGTGTTTCTTCAATATTAGTGGAGTTTTTCTTGGAGAAAGCAATCTTAGTTGATTTCTATGGAGTCCATTGCTTATTGTTCGCTTCGTAACAATAATAAGATTGAGGCATTTAATTCTTCCTGTATTTCTCTCCGAGTAGTCATTAGATTTTCTTGAATTTTGCGCTGAATTCTTCTCATTGATCTCGGAAAAATTTCGCGTGGTGCACCAGATCTCGAT